ACTCTTCGAACTAGATCTAAAATTTATTACATTTGGAAAATCAAATAATTACATCTGGGGATCTGCATCACGCGCTCCATTAGTTAACTTATGCTGTCATAATTGACGGCATGAGCAGAACGTTCTTTTTAACTGGTGGCCCCTTTTCTTTTTCATATGTTAATCATAACTTCTGACACCATGCTTCTGCTTATAGAATTTCCTTTACCATCTGGTATGAGAAGTATTAATAAGTGACAAGTATAGAACCAAATTCTTCAATGGCTCATCATTAAAAGTTGCCTAACTTTTGGATTACCACATTTGCCTTACCCAATCATCTGCATTAGATTTCTAGTATTCATGCAGTTTTAAAAAATGTGTGGCCTTTGTTATCCATAGATAACAAATCCTGTCCATAAGCAATTGCTGCTCCTCTTAGGCCTGGGCTGTAGCTTCTTTTTGGTTAAGCTAGGTCTGCTTTCTGGTTGAGTATACTGTCAGCAATACTTCAAGGTACTTCAACATTTGGTGATACATGGTCCAAGTGCGCTCATAACAAATGGTGCCACAGGTTGGAAAAAATTATGCATGTACTGAGTTGAAACAGGAGCTTATCACATTTTCTCAATTTCTTGAGAGGATGTGGTCAAGTGATTCTGCAAACTTGGCATGTGTAGCGCAGCATCAATTGTTTGACCAGGTGAGAAAATTTATGTAGCAACCAAACCCATGCATCTACTGACTTAGCAGTTTACCAAACATTTGGATTTGATTTGTAACATTTGACAGATAAAGGAGCTCCACAAAGATATTACTGTCCCTGAGTACTGTTTAGCTGGTGGTGGCAAACTCCAGTCACTTAATGCTTGGTTCGGCCCTCATGGGACAATAACTCCATTGCATCATGACCCACATCACAACCTTTTTTCTCAGGTATGACACAAACAATGTCTATGTTAAAACCCTGTTTGTTTATGTATATATTCTTGACTTATGTGTGTTGGTTACCATGGATAATTGAATGTGCGATATTTAAGAAGAACATTTTATTTATTGCATCAGTACTCATGCCCTGCCACTATTTTCTTTTTATTATTTCTAGTGTGATATGATGGTTTGTTTCTCTGGGCACAATTCTAGCAACCGTGTTGCTTCATTGCTTGGCATTTTTTTCTGCTTTCAGCAGGCTTTTCTAGTGAAGTCTTACAGAAACTATTGTTCTTATTTCTATGCTTGAAATTAAAATCAGCAAGCTTCCTATACAAACAACAGGCCGCAGACAAACATGTTTGAACCCTTCCTATAATTTCACTAGGAGACGGACATCTTGTGTTTGTTTCCTTTTATCAAAGGCAAGTTACTTTCAGGCCACCAACCCCTGTAACTGAGGGAAAAGGCCATTTACTTGGTTTGACTTTGAAAAACTAATTTACATATTCAACAAGACAAACTCCTGTGCTGTTGGAATATCTGGAAACATAGGCATGAATGCATGTCGTTGTGTTCTTGTGGTGAAAACCCGTCCTTGAGCCACCTACAATTAGCCTGCTGCGAAGACACTCGTCTCTGAAGCTACCGACTCCTTTGAGAAGAAGCGGACATTGCTTCAATTTGGTGACACCTATTTTCCCCAATGTGAACTAATCTCGTGAGTACATTGTAAAACATAATTGATGGTTGACCAGAATATGTTTATTGCTGGCCCAGTGCAATGGATTCTAGGGGAGCCCTCCCCTCCCAGTGAACGTCTAAAAGGAAACTTGACCTTGGGAAACAACCTTCTTGATCATTATGATTAAGAAGAAACCTCAACAACACGGACCGAGAAAACCCCCAAACCAACCACGAGTGCACAGGCCGGCGCCCTGCCACTATTTTTTGGGTTGGGTTGCCAGCAAGGAACTCCCCCCCCCCCCAGGACCGGTGTCTCCCTCAGCTGGGGAGGTTACCACTACGCTACAAGAGTGTTGACATGAATGTATAAAAAGAAAAGACAAACTGACTGCATGATTGCTGTTGGCTTGTTGCTACGCTACATCAAACCGCATTTTCCTCAATAGTGATGAAACCGTCTTACCAATTATTTGAATGCCCATAGATTTTTGTCCTTGCATTATTCATGTTCTTAGCAATCATGTTTTGGCGCTTGCTCAAGTATGACTTGTATAAAAAAGATCAGCATGTTTGCGCCTACTTTTAGTAGGTTATGATGAACTGAAACCAAAGATATTCATAACCTACAGTAAGTTATATGGAACTATAAATGCTCTTTGTTCCTTCAGTTATTTGAATTTACACTGATTGGTAACTAGTTCGGAGTGCTGATAGTGACATAGTTTGTGTAGATTAAGATTTCTCAATTAGTTGATGTATCTGGTTGTTACTCCTTGGCAGGTTTTGGGAAGGAAGTATGTTAGACTCTATCCTGTATCCGTGGGTCTATACCCTAACACAGAAAGCATGCTAAGCAATACTAGTCAGGTGAGCAGTCTGTTTAGATCAATGATGCCCGCATGCACAAGTGACATTAGTGTAAAAACTTGATTGGATACCCTAAAGCTGTCACCTTACCTTACTGTCCATAACTATTTTGTTGCCTTATTTTAAATATTTCTGAACCTGTTCCAAATATATTACCTTACATAATCTCAACCTTGATGTGGAGATTCTGTAAATGTGCTATTTTTTCTAATGATTCTAGTAACAAAGAACCATGACAGTCAAAGTGAGGTAAGTAGCCTGTTTTAAACAAGCACTATATATATAGAATGATTCTTGCATGCCTTGATATCAATGATTCTTGCATGCTAAAAACATGACTGCAAAATTTTGATTGGATACCCAAAAAACTACGAGCAGTTTACCTTGTTATCCATAATCATATTGTGTTGCCTGAAGTTGTTCCAAACATGCTACATGACAGTGAGATTCTAAAAATAGAGTCAGTCTTTATTAAAAAAAAAAACAATTCTGGGAATAAAGTGAATATGCCAACTGCCATATGACTATTTGATGGTGCTAGATTTTCTTCTGGACGCCCTGGTCAACCTATCTTTATTGGAACCCTCACGTTCAACTTTGCTTCGTTACAATCCAAATCCATTCATAGTGTTGTGATCCTGAAGCTCTGCACCACCCAATAAGGTTAATTGAGTTCTATTGCAAACAAAATTGAGCTACATGTGATTTGGTTCCTCTAATCTGTCTTAACAGGTAGATCTTGACAACATTGATGAAAAAGAGCACCCGAAGACTGCAGCTCTTGAATTCATGGATTGCATATTGGAGGAAGGTGACCTGCTTTACATTCCCCCAAAATGGTGGCAATACGTGAGATCTCTTTCTATTAGCTTTTCTGTTAGCTTTTGGTGGCGAACGTCAGATCTTCCTTCAGGAAGTTCATAATGCTATTGTTTTGACAATTTTGATCATCCATGATGTTTCTATCATCAGATTGGTAGAGACTTAATAAAACTCTATTGAGCCCATCTTTCGTGGTCTACTGTTGTGTTTGTTGGCCTCACTACATTGGGTTTGCACATTGTTTTCACGACAATGATTTAAACTGTTGACTTCAAACATACTAAGTCACTATCAGGTACAAGTGTGTTCGTTTTACTGTGAACTGATTCTACCGTATGGCCTAGCTGTGTCACTGTGTTCGCTGATTGATACTTTTCTTTTTTCTGAGTCAAAGGGTTCGCTAGTAGTGCTTAATCTGTCATTTCTGTACATTTGAGAAATAGGGAGCATGTTAAAATGTAACTTGAGAGCCAGCCTGCTAGGATTGGCTTACCCCCTGTGAGATAAGCCAGCCAGAATAATGTTGGTTTGGTAACTTTTGCTCAATTATTCTGAATACATCTGATGTCTGCTCTTTCATGCTCCTTCATGCCTTTCAGATGAAAATAACTCAGATCAGATCATTTGTTTTACTTGGCTGCAGATTTAACTTTTGTAACTACTGATGCTAAAGCACTAACTGCTAACCGAACTGTCCATATTAAGTACTCAGACCATTTTCTACCTATTAATGAAATGACACGCAGCTTTCTTACATGTTCAAGAAAAAAATATTAATTACTTAAAACCAAGGCAATGTACAATCATATGTGACTCAAACAGCTGAAAGGTGAAGGGAAATAAATGCTTCACGTACGGAGTATACAGCCCTTCTGTGTAATTTTATTGTAACAAAGTGACTCGAACCTTTTTCATAAGTGGTCAACCACTCGAGTGACATGAGCCTTTTAAGGAGTTACACAAATGGGTTATATGAATTTTGCTTACCTGCCTAATGCCTTAATTGTCCTTAAGCAGAGGATTGTAGAGCTTGTATTTGTTTTTCGATTTCTAATGTTTTTTATGCGTGCTGGTATATGTATAAGACACTCACAGTACTTTACCATCAGCATATCAAATGGTTCATACTAACTAGATGGCTGCTCAATTATGAATTAGAGGGATCGGATCACTTGGTTGTACTCAGCAGATCTTGTATATTTCAGATATACAAGATAAAGTGTTTTTCTACATTTGAGGATGTAGAAGAGCTGAGATACATTAGCTTGCATAATGTGTGGTAAAAGGGGGCCTTAAAGCAGTACGAGTCTACAAGACTGAGCAACTGTCATGAACGAAAGGGCACCAAAGAATCATTGCCCTGATTTCTTGCGTTTTCAATTTTGCCTCATTTAGAGTTGTTTTGGTGACGTCATGGCATGACTGATAACTTTTGGGATTTTAAATTTCATAAATGGCTTTAAAATAAGGGAGAAGTAGTTTTCTGGCCATGCAACTATTGTCCGAGTTGGCTGCGTGACTCACGAAAATGAAAGGTTATAATGATTCTTCGACCACTGAACAATTGAAGTGTAAATATAGGATAACTTGGTCGTCTAGGTGACCTGGTTTGTGTTTTCTAAATTAATAAAATATGTTTTACTTTGGTGTTTGAAAAAAGTTTGTTTTACACTTTAGAGCATCATAATTTTCGATGGGGAATTAAGTAAAGAATATCAAGAAATAAGAATAAATCTAAAAATCATCATAATAATCATAAAGATCTTGCCAATCGAGTAATTGATAAATTATCACAACCAAATAGAGATTATAGAGTATATAATTAGACATTGTGTTAGAAAACGAATAGACACAGTAAAGATAATTCATTAAATAAACATACTAAATTAATCACAAAACTTTTACGATTTATGTATCTTAATTTTTTTTGCCGTCCTGGAGCATGAGCTACCTTTATTAAAAGAGAGAGGGAGAGAGAGAGAGAACTGCATAAAATCAATTTTCTTGAAACAAACATTTTTACATTTTCTTTCCAGAAAGGACAAAAAAAAGTAAGATGAACACCTTATGGAGTTACAGTTACAAAAATTGGGAAATGGAAACAGAAGAATTATTTACACAAGCCTCGCATTCGGTTAAGTAAAAAAATGGAACAAATCCAATTGAATCGATGTATTCGGATTCAGTAGCTTTTGTTAACCCTCCGGCAGTTGCTCCTGATCTCCCCATCCTTTCCTGTCAGCGGGCTAATGTTTCCCATCTTAATCATGGATGCCGCAAAGTTTCTGAAAAAATCCTGTTGGTTGCCTGCGAACCGATGAACAATGGGAGCAGTGGTCGCCGCAGCAGAAGGGTCCGATAGCATAACCTGGTCGGACGGTAGCTGAGCGCGGCCCTCTAAGAGGTTGTTGTAATACTTGTTGTCGAAGACCTTGGGCGTGACCTGGTCGAGGTTCTCCAGTGCGCCGCTGGACTGGCCGGCCGTGCAATTCTGCTGCGTGAACTGGCACTGTACTTTGCCGAATGTGTGAGCTCCTGAAGTGGAAATAGCAAATATGTTGAGATTTTGTGATAAGCTAAGGCACACACTGTCTTGAACTTTAATTTCTAAGTTTGAACTGTTTGTGTTGCTACGTTGGTAAGTAGATGTAGATTGATTACCTTGGAGGGCGACGAGGTCAGTGTCGTCGAGGTTGACGTTTCTAAACTTCTCCTGGAGGACGTTCAGGGGGTCGAAGAAGTTGGGCAGGTTCCTGGCGCTCTGGACGTTGGTCGTCGTGCCGTCTCGCCGGCCAAAGAAGCACCCTCCACCGTGGTCCTCCAGCCTGCACACCGATCCATGCACGGTTCGTTCCGTCAGTTCTACATCAGGCGTGAGCGTGATAGATAGAGGTAGCGCTAGCACGCCAGCGCGGGTTGATGAAAGGGCGAGCTCTCGAGTGCTTACGAGTTCAACGGAGATCTCAGCTGCCAGGGCGAGGATGTCAGCGCAGGAGACGATGCCGGGGCAGGCTTCCTCCAGCGCGCTCTTGATGTCGTCGACCACCGGAAAGCCCCGCGCCGAGTTGTTGTTGGCGGGCACACGCTTCTCGGTCTGGATCGCCGGGAGGTCGTCGTCCAGCAGGAGCGAGCCGTCGCAACCCTGAAACAAATCAGCGTACGTACGTACGTGTGTGTCAGATGATGCAGTGCGGGTACGTGTATGTCAGAACAACTCAGATGATCCAAATCAGCGCAGCTGTTAGTTCACGTACGGTGACGAAGCAGTCGTGGAAATGGAGGCGGATGAGGCTGGCCGGGATGCGAGGGTCAGAGACCCGGGCGTTCTGGATGACGCGCCGGACGACGTCGTAGGCGCTGGGGCACGACGCGTCGTAGAACGTGGAGCTCAGCGCCGAGCCGCCGCTGGGACGGTGACCGAGCGCGGCTCCAGCTAAGGCGAGCAAGAGCACGCAGAGCGCCGCTAACGCTGAGGCGGGAGATGAGAAGCAGGAAGAAGCGGCCATGGGTTCGCTCCTGAGTTGCAGAATTGCAGTAGGTGTACGTAACTTGCTAGCTATCTGACCTCTGAAGAGAGCTAGCTAGGGACCGGCCACTGACAGTGTAGGCTGCTAGGTGCGTGCGACTGGTCGTGCTTGCTGCAGACGAAGCTTGCAGAGCTGAGAGAGAGGTGGATGCGATGCGAGGGGAAAGGGTGCGCGTGGCAGGTTTTATAGTATCGAGCGGTAGGCGCGGAGACTATTCGCTGGGACGGAACTGGTAGTGGTTTTGCGTTTGACATGTTCCTCGTGCGGGAGCCTGTCGATCTGGAGTTAGTTTCCGTACAGGGGAGCAGGCCGGGAGGGGACAAGTGGACGACGGCTGCCGCACCTTCTTCGTCTTCGCACACGGTTGCTGCGGATACACTCTTCGCTAGCTGGAGCCTGGAGACTGGAGACTGGAGAGCGGCGGTGGACAATGGCAGCTCGAGGAGGAGACGAGGTCGCGGCGAGGTGATTGCTCTGGGATGGGAGCGTGTTCGTTGCGCCAGCGCGCGGTGGGAAAGCGAGAGGTGCTCGATTAGCGCAATGCTCGTTTGGGCTGGGTTGGCTTATAAGCCGTGGCTGAAAATATCGTTGGCTGGTTTGATGTGAGAGAAAAATATTGTTTATTGACTGATAAGTCATGACTTATAAGCCAAATACGACCTAGCGAACAGGCGGCAGATCCTTCTCCATTTCTCCTGAAAAGCAATCGAATTGAAAGAAACAGCAGCGTATGGGGGCAGTGCGGTGGGGTGGGGTGGGGTGTCCTGTCCTGCCATCGCACACCGGCGACCAACCATGCATGCCTGCAGCTGAGAGGAAACGGCAATGGAGTAGCCGGGTCAGCGAGAGAAAGGCTCCGAGCTGAGGAAGCAGCATGCCAGTGCAGACGTGTAGTTAAAAAAAAAAGTAGTGTAGACGTGTAGTTGATGTTGCGATTTGCGAAAGGGTGCCTCAAACCAGCTTGGAGGACATGGTCACATGGAAAGGTCAACCTTGTCCGCTGTTCCGCAGCCAATGCCACTTGTCATGCTTGCGAAGCAGGACGTCGGCGCTTTCGCTCGCGGCGGTGATTTTTTTTTTTAATTTTAACACTTTTTTAAATTAATTTTAAATTTAACACTGTTTTTTTTCCTTCAAAACTAACACTTTTGGCCGTGCCTATTGTCATGGCGCCGGCGAAAGCTTATTAGTGCCGCGTCATGCATGGTGACGCCGACAGAGGGTGACGACGTGAAGACGAAGGCCCGGGGCCGTGACGGTGGCGTGGCAAGATCGCGCGCGCCAGCGATATATGATTTCTAATGTTTTTTATGCGTGCTGGTGTATGTATAAGACACTCACGGTACTTTACCATCAGCATATCAAATGGTTCATACTAACTAGATGGCTGCTCAATTATGAATTAGAGGGATCGGATCACTTGGTTGTAATCAGCAGATCTTGTATATTTCAGATATACAAGATAAAGTGTTTTTCTACATTTGAGGATGTAGAAGAGCTGAGATACATTAGCTTGCATAATGTGTGGTAAAAGGGGGCCTTAAAGCAGTACGAGTCTACAAGACTGAGCAACTGTCATGAACGAAAGGGCACCAAAGAATCATTGCCCTGATTTCTTGCGTTTTCAATTTTGCCTCATTTAGAGTTGTTTTGGTGACGTCATGGCATGACTGATAACTTTTGGGATTTTAAATTTCATAAATGGCTTTAAAATCAGGGAGAAGTAGTTTTCTGGCCATGCAACTATTGTCCGAGTTGGCTGCGTGACTCACGAAAATGAAAGGTTATAATGATTCTTCGACCACTGAACAATTGAAGTGTAAATATAGGCTAACTTGGTCGTCTAGGTGACCTGGTTTGTGTTTTCTAAATTAATAAAATATGTTTTACTTTGGTCTTTGAAAAAAGTGTGTTTTACACTTTAGAGCATCATAATTTTCGATGGGGAATTAAGTAAAGAATATCAAGAAATAAGAATAAATCTAAAAATCATCATAATAATCATAAAGATCTTGCCAATCGAGTAATTGATAAATTATCACAACCAAATAGAGATTATAGAGTATATAATTAGACATTGTGTTAGAAAACGAATAGACACAGTAAAGATAATTCATTAAATAAACATACTAAATTAATCACAAAACTTTTACGATTTATGTATCTTAATTTTTTTTTGCCGTCCTGGAGCATGAGCTACCTTTATTAAAAGAGAGAGGGAGAGAGAGAGAGAACTGCATAAAATCAATTTTCTTGAAACAAACATTTTTACATTTTCTTTCCAGAAAGGACAAAAAAAAGTAAGATGAACACCTTATGGAGTTACAGTTACAAAAATTGGGAAATGGAAACAGAAGAATTATTTACACAAGCCTCGCATTCGGTTAAGTAAAAAAATGGAACAAATCCAATTGAATCGATGTATTCGGATTCAGTAGCTTTTGTTAACCCTCCGGCAGTTGCTCCTGATCTCCCCATCCTTTCCTGTCAGCGGGCTAATGTTTCCCATCTTAATCATGGATGCCGCAAAGTTTCTGAAAAAATCCTGTTGGTTGCCTGCGAACCGATGAACAATGGGAGCAGTGGTCGCCGCAAGAAGGGTCCGATAGCATAACCTGGTCGGACGGTAGCTGAGCGCGGCCCTCTAAGAGGTTGTTGTAATACTCGTTGTCGAAGACTTTGGGTGTGACTTGGTCGAGGTTCTCCAGTGCGCCGCTGGACTGGCCGGCCGTGCAATTCTGCTGCGTGAACTGGCACTGTACTTTGCCGAATGTGTGAGCTCCTGGAGTGGAAATAGCAAATATGTTGAGATTTTGTGATAAGCTAATTAAGGCACACACTGTCTTGAACTTTAATTTCTAAGTTTGAACTGTTTGTGTTGCTACGTTGGTAAGTAGATGTAGATTGATTACCCTGGAGGGCGACGAGGTCAGTGTCGTCGAGGTTGACGTTTCTAAACTTCTCCTGGAGGACGTTCAGGGGTCGAAGAAGTTGGGCAGGTTCCTGGCGCTCTGGACGTTGGTCGTCGTGCCGTCTCGTCGGCCAAGAAGCACCCTCCACCGTGGTCCTCCAGCCTGCACACCGATCCATGCACGGGTTCTTTCCGTCAGTTCTACATCAGGCGTGAGCGTGATAGATAGAGGTAGCGCTAGCACGCCAGCGCGGGTTGATGAAAGGGCGAGCTCTCGAGTGCTTACGAGTTCAACGGAGATCTCAGCTGCCAGGGCGAGGATGTCAGCGCAGGAGACGATGCCGGGGCAGGCTTCCTCCAGCGCGCTCTTGATGTCGTCGACCACCGGAAAGCCCCGCGCCGAGTTGTTGTTGGCGGGCACACGCTTCTCGGTCTGGATCGCCGGGAGGTCGTCGTCCAGCAGGAGCGAGCCGTCGCAACCCTGAAACAAATCAGCGTACGTACGTACGTGTGTGTCAGATGATGCAGTGCGGGTACGTGTATGTCAGAACAACTCAGATGATCCAAATCAGCGCAGCTGTTAGTTCACGTACGGTGACGAAGCAGTCGTGGAAATGGAGGCGGATGAGGCTGGCCGGGATGCGAGGTCAGAGACCCGGGCGTTCTGGATGACGCGCCGGACGACGTCGTAGGCGCTGGGGCACGACGCGTCGTAGAACGTGGAGCTCAGCGCCGAGCCGCCGCTGGGACGGTGACCGAGCGCGGCTCCAGCTAAGGCGAGCAAGAGCACGCAGAGCGCCGCTAACGCTGAGGCGGGAGATGAGAAGCAGGAAGAAGCGGCCATGGGTTCGCTCCTGAGTTGCAGAATTGCAGTAGGTGTACGTAACTTGCTGGCTATCTGACCTCTGAAGAGAGCTAGCTAGGGACCGGCCACTGACAGTGTAGGCTGCTAGGTGCGTGCGACTGGTCGTGCTTGCTGCAGACGAAGCTTGCAGAGCTGAGAGAGAGGTGGATGCGATGCGAGGGGAAAGGGTGCGCGTGGCAGGTTTTATAGTATCGAGCGGTAGGCGCGGAGACTATTCGCTGGGACGGAACTGGTAGTGGTTTTGCGTTTGACATGTTCCTCGTGCGGGAGCCTGTCGATCTGGAGTTAGTTTCCGTACAGGGGAGCAGGCCGGGAGGGGACAAGTGGACGACGGCTGCCGCACCTTCTTCGTCTTCGCACACGGTTGCTGCGGATACACTCTTCGCTAGCTGGAGCCTGGAGACTGGAGACTGGAGAGCGGCGGTGGACAATGGCAGCTCGAGGAGGAGACGAGGTCGCGGCGAGGTGATTGCTCTGGGATGGGAGCGTGTTCGTTGCGCCAGCGCGCGGTGGGAAAGCGAGAGGTGCTCGATTAGCGCAATGCTCGTTTGGGCTGGGTTGGCTTATAAGCCGTGGCTGAAAATATCGTTGGCTGGTTTGATGTGAGAGAAAAATATTGTTTATTGACTGATAAGTCATGACTTATAAGCCAAATACGACCTAGCGAACAGGCGGCAGATCCTTCTCCATTTCTCCTGAAAAGCAATCGAATTGAAAGAAACAGCAGCGTATGGGGGCAGTGCGGTGGGGTGGGGTGGGGTGTCCTGTCCTGCCATCGCACACCGGCGACCAACCATGCATGCCTGCAGCTGAGAGGAAACGGCAATGGAGTAGCCGGGTCAGCGAGAGAAAGGCTCCGAGCTGAGGAAGCAGCATGCCAGTGCAGACGTGTAGTTAAAAAAAAAAGTAGTGTAGACGTGTAGTTGATGTTGCGATTTGCGAAAGGGTGCCTCAAACCAGCTTGGAGGACATGGTCACATGGAAAGGTCAACCTTGTCCGCTGTTCCGCAGCCAATGCCACTTGTCATGCTTGCGAAGCAGGACGTCGGCGCTTTCGCTCGCGGCGGTGATTTTTTTTTTTAATTTTAACACTTTTTTAAATTAATTTTAAATTTAACACTGTTTTTTTTCCTTCAAAACTAACACTTTTGGCCGTGCCTATTGTCATGGCGCGGCGAAACGGCTGTGCCGCGTCATGCATGGTGACGCGACAGGAGGGTGACGTGGCGAAGACTGGGGCCGCTGACCGGTGACGTGGCAAGATCTGCCGCGCCACTGATATATGATTTCTAATGTTTTTTATGCGTGCTGGTGTATGTATAAGACACTCACGGTACTTTACCATCAGCATATCAAATGGTTCATACTAACTAGATGGCTGCTCAATTATGAATTAGAGGGATCGGATCACTTGGTTGTAATCAGCAGATCTTGTATATTTCAGATATACAAGATAAAGTGTTTTTCTACATTTGAGGATGTAGAAGAGCTGAGATACATTAGCTTGCATAATGTGTGGTAAAAGGGGCCTTAAAGCAGTACGAGTCTACAAGACTGAGCAACTGTCATGAACGAAAGGGCACCAAAGAATCATTGCCCTGATTTCTTGCGTTTTCAATTTTGCCTCATTTAGAGTTGTTTTGGTGACGTCATGGCATGACTGATAACTTTTGGGATTTTAAATTTCATAAATGGCTTTAAAATCAGGGAGAAGTAGTTTTCTGGCCATGCAACTATTGTCCGAGTTGGCTGCGTGACTCACGAAAATGAAAGGTTATAATGATTCTTCGACCACTGAACAATTGAAGTGTAAATATAGGCTAACTTGGTCGTCTAGGTGACCTGGTTTGTGTTTTCTAAATTAATAAAATATGTTTTACTTTGGTGTTTGAAAAAAGTTTGTGTTTTACACTTTAGAGCATCATAATTTTCGATGGGGAATTAAGTAAAGAATATCAAGAAATAAGAATAAATCTAAAAATCATCATAATAATCATAAAGATCTTGCCAATCGAGTAATTGATAAATTATCACAACCAAATAGAGATTATAGAGTATATAATTAGACATTGTGTTAGAAAACGAATAGACACAGTAAAGATAATTCATTAAATAAACATACTAAATTAATCACAAAACTTTTACGATTTATGTATCTTAATTTTTTTTGCCGTCCTGGAGCATGAGCTACCTTTATTAAAAGAGAGAGGGAGAGAGAGAGAGAACTGCATAAAATCAATTTTCTTGAAACAAACATTTTACATTTTCTTTCCAGAAAGGACAAAAAAAAAGTAAGATGAACACCTTATGGAGTTACAGTTACAAAAATTGGGAAATGGAAACAGAAGAATTATTTACACAAGCCTCGCATTCGGTTAAGTAAAAAATGGAACAAATCCAATTGAATCGATGTATTCGGATTCAGTAGCTTTTGTTAACCCTCCGGCAGTTGCTCCTGATCTCCCCATCCTTTCCTGTCAGCGGGCTAATGTTTCCCATCTTAATCATGGATGCCGCAAAGTTTCTGAAAAAATCCTGTTGGTTGCCTGCGAACCGATGAACAATGGGAGCAGTGGTCGCCGCAGCAGAAGGGTCCGATAGCATAACCTGGTCGGACGGTAGCTGAGCGCGGCCCTCTAAGAGGTTGTTGTAATACTTGTTGTCGAAGACCTTGGGCGTGACCTGGTCGAGGTTCTCCAGTGCGCCGCTGGACTGGCCGGCCGTGCAATTCTGCTGCGTGAACTGGCACTGTACTTTGCCGAATGTGTGAGCTCCTGAAGTGGAAATAGCAAATATGTTGAGATTTTGTGATAAGCTAAGGCACACACTGTCTTGAACTTTAATTTCTAAGTTTGAACTGTTTGTGTTGCTACGTTGGTAAGTAGATGTAGATTGATTACCTTGGAGGGCGACGAGGTCAGTGTCGTCGAGGTTGACGTTTCTAAACTTCTCCTGGAGGACGTTCAGGGGGTCGAAGAAGTTGGGCAGGTTCCTGGCGCTCTGGACGTTGGTCGTCGTGCCGTCTCGCCGGCCAAGAAGCACCCTCCACCGTGGTCCTCCAGCCTGCACACCGATCCATGCACGGTTCGTTCCGTCAGTTCTACATCAGGCGTGAGCGTGATAGATAGAGGTAGCGCTAGCACGCCAGCGCGGGTTGATGAAAGGGCGAGCTCTCGAGTGCTTACGAGTTCAACGGAGATCTCAGCTGCCAGGGCGAGGATGTCAGCGCAGGAGACGATGCCGGGCAGGCTTCCTCCAGCGCGCTCTTGATGTCGTCGACCACCGGAAAGCCCCGCGCCGAGTTGTTGTTGGCGGGCACACGCTTCTCGGTCTGGATCGCCGGGAGGTCGTCGTCCAGCAGGAGCGAGCCGTCGCAACCCTGAAACAAATCAGCGTACGTACGTACGTGTGTGTCAGATGATGCAGTGCGGGTACGTGTATGTCAGAACAACTCAGATGATCCAAATCAGCGCAGCTGTTAGTTCACGTACGGTGACGAAGCAGTCGTGGAAATGGAGGCGGATGAGGCTGGCCGGGATGCGAGGGTCAGAGACCCGGGCGTTCTGGATGACGCGCCGGACGACGTCGTAGGCGCTGGGGCACGACGCGTCGTAGAACGTGGAGCTCAGCGCCGAGCCGCCGCTGGGACGGTGACCGAGCGCGGCTCCAGCTAAGGCGAGCAAGAGCACGCAGAGCGCCGCTAACGCTGAGGCGGGAGATGAGAAGCAGGAAGAAGCGGCCATGGGTTCGCTCCTGAGTTGCAGAATTGCAGTAGGTGTACGTAACTTGCTAGCTATCTGACCTCTGAAGAGAGCTAGCTAGGGACCGGCCACTGACAGTGTAGGCTGCTAGGTGCGTGCGACTGGTCGTGCTTGCTGCAGACGAAGCTTGCAGAGCTGAGAGAGAGGTGGATGCGATGCGAGGGGAAAGGGTGCGCGTGGCAGGTTTTATAGTATCGAGCGGTAGGCGCGGAGACTATTCGCTGGGACGGAACTGGTAGTGGTTTTGCGTTTGACATGTTCCTCGTGCGGGAGCCTGTCGATCTGGAGTTAGTTTCCGTACAGGGGAGCAGGCCGGGAGGGGACAAGTGGACGACGGCTGCCGCACCTTCTTCGTCTTCGCACACGGTTGCTGCGGATACACTCTTCGCTAGCTGGAGCCTGGAGACTGGAGACTGGAGAGCGGCGGTGGACAATGGCAGCTCGAGGAGGAGACGAGGTCGCGGCGAGGTGATTGCTCTGGGATGGGAGCGTGTTCGTTGCGCCAGCGCGCGGTGGGAAAGCGAGAGGTGCTCGATTAGCGCAATGCTCGTTTGGGCTGGGTTGGCTTATAAGCCGTGGCTGAAAATATCGTTGGCTTTGGTTTGATGTGAGAAAAAATATTGTTTATTGACCGATAAGTCATGACTTATAAGCCAAATCGACCCTAATGAACAGGCGGCGGATCCTTCTCCATTTCTCTGAAAAGCAATCGAATTGAAAAAACAGCAGAGCGTATAGGGGCGGTCACGGTGGGGTGGGGTGGGGTGTCCTGTCCTGCCATCGCACACACGGCGACCAACCATGCATGCCTGCAGCTGAGAGGAAACGGCAATGGAGTAGCCGGGTCAGCGAGAGAAAGGCTCCGAGCTGAGGAAGCAGCATGCCAGTGCAGACGTGTAGTTAAAAAAAAAAGTAGTGTAGACGTGTAGTTGATGTTGCGATTTGCGAAAGGGTGCCTCAAACCAGCTTGGAGGACATGGTCACATGGAAAGGTCAACCTTGTCCGCTGTTCCGCAGCCAATGCCACTTGTCATGCTTGCGAAGCAGGACGTCGGCGCTTTCGCTCGCGGCGGTGATTTTTTTTTTTAATTTTAACACTTTTTTAAATTAATTTTAAATTTAACACTGTTTTTTTTCCTTCAAAACTAACACTTTTGGCCGTGCCTATTGTCATGGCGCGGCGAAACGGCTGTGCCGCGTCATGCATGGTGACGCGACAGGAGGGTGACGTGGCGAAGACTGGGGCCGCTGACCGGTGACGTGGCAAGATCTGCCGCGCCACTGATATATGATTTCTAATGTTTTTTATGCGTGCTGGTGTATGTATAAGACACTCACGGTACTTTACCATCAGCATATCAAATGGTTCATACTAACTAGATGGCTGCTCAATTATGAATTAGAGGGATCGGATCACTTGGTTGTAATCAGCAGATCTTGTATATTTCAGATATACAAGATAAAGTGTTTTTCTACATTTGAGGATGTAGAAGAGCTGAGATACATTAGCTTGCATAATGTGTGGTAAAAGGGGGCCTTAAAGCAGTACGAGTCTACAAGACTGAGCAACTGTCATGAACGAAAGGGCACCAAAGAATCATTGCCCTGATTTCTTGCGTTTTCAATTTTGCCTCATTTAGAGTTGTTTTGGTGACGTCATGGCATGACTGATAACTTTTGGGATTTTAAATTTCATAAATGGCTTTAAAATCAGGGAGAAGTAGTTTTCTGGCCATGCAACTATTGTCCGAGTTGGCTGCGTGACTCACGAAAATGAAAGGTTATAATGATTCTTCGACCACTGAACAATTGAAGTGTAAATATAGGCTAACTTGGTCGTCTAGGTGACCTGGTTTGTGTTTTCTAAATTAATAAAATATGTTTTACTTTGGTCTTTGAAAAAAGTGTGTTTTACACTTTAGAGCATCATAATTTTCGATGGGGAATTAAGTAAAGAATATCAAGAAATAAGAATAAATCTAAAAATCATCATAATAATCATAAAGATCTTGCCAATCGAGTAATTGATAAATTATCACAACCAAATAGAGATTATAGAGTATATAATTAGACATTGTGTTAGAAAACGAATAGACACAGTAAAGATAATTCATTAAATAAACATACTAAATTAATCACAAAACTTTTACGATTTATGTATCTTAATTTTTTTTGCCGTCCTGGAGCATGAGCTACCTTTATTAAAAGAGAGAGGGAGAGAGAGAGAGAACTGCATAAAATCAATTTTCTTGAAACAAACATTTTTACATTTTCTTTCCAGAAAGGACAAAAAAAAGTAAGATGAACACCTTATGGAGTTACAGTTACAAAAATTGGGAAATGGAAACAGAAGAATTATTTACACAAGCCTCGCATTCGGTTAAGTAAAAAAATGGAACAAATCCAATTGAATCGATGTATTCGGATTCAGTAGCTTTTGTTAACCCTCCGGCAGTTGCTCCTGATCTCCCCATCCTTTCCTGTCAGCGGGCTAATGTTTCCCATCTTAATCATGGATGCCGCAAAGTTTCTGAAAAAATCCTGTTGGTTGCCTGCGAACCGATGAACAATGGGAGCAGTGGTCGCCGCAGCAGAAGGGTCCGATAGCATAACCTGGTCGGACGGTAGCTGAGCGCGGCCCTCTAAGAGGTTGTTGTAATACTCGTTGTCGAAGACTTTGGGTGTGACTTGGTCGAGGTTCTCCAGTGCGCCGCTGGACTGGCCGGCCGTGCAATTCTGCTGCGTGAACTGGCACTGTACTTTGCCGAATGTGTGAGCTCCTGGAGTGGAAATAGCAAATATGTTGAGATTTTGTGATAAGCTAATTAAGGCACACACTGTCTTGAACTTTAATTTCTAAGTTTGAACTGTTTGTGTTGCTACGTTGGTAAGTAGATGTAGATTGATTACCCTGGAGGGCGACGAGGTCAGTGTCGTCGAGGTTGACGTTTCTAAACTTCTCCTGGAGGACGTTCAGGGGGTCGAAGAAGTTGGGCAGGTTCCTGGCGCTCTGGACGTTGGTCGTCGTGCCGTCTCGTCGGCCAAGAAGCACCCTCCACCGTGGTCCTCCAGCCTGCACACCGATCCATGCACGGGTTCTTTCCGTCAGTTCTACATCAGGCGTGAGCGTGATAGATAGAGGTAGCGCTAGCACGCCAGCGCGGGTTGATGAAAGGGCGAGCTCTCGAGTGCTTACGAGTTCAACGGAGATCTCAGCTGCCAGGGCGAGGATGTCAGCGCAGGAGACGATGCCGGGGCAGGCTTCCTCCAGCGCGCTCTTGATGTCGTCGACCACCGGAAAGCCCCGCGCCGAGTTGTTGTTGGCGGGCACACGCTTCTCGGTCTGGATCGCCGGGAGGTCGTCGTCCAGCAGGAGCGAGCCGTCGCAACCCTGAAACAAATCAGCGTACGTACGTACGTGTGTGTCAGATGATGCAATGCGGGTACGTGTATGTCAGAACAACTCAGATGGTACAAATCAGCGCAGCTGTTAGTTCACGTACGGTGACGAAGCAGTCGTGGAAATGGAGGCGGATGAGGCTGGCCGGGATGCGAGGGTCAGAGACCCGGGCGTTCTGGATGACGCGCCGGACGACGTCGTAGGCGCTGGGGCACGACGCGTCGTAGAACGTGGAGCTCAGCGCCGAGCCGCCGCTGGGACGGTGACCGAGCGCGGCTCCAGCTAAGGCGAGCAAGAGCACGCAGAGCGCCGCTAACGCCGAGGCGGGAGATGAGAAGCAGGAGGAAGCGGCCATGGGCTCGCTCCTGAGTTGAAGAATTGCAGTAGGTGTACGTAACTTGCTAGCTATCTGACCTCTGAAGAGAGCTAGCTAGGGACCGGCCACTGACAGTGTAGGCTGCTAGGTGCGTGCGACTGGTCGTGCTTGCTGCAGACGAAGCTTGCAGAGCTGAGAGAGAGGTGGATGCGATGCGAGGGGAAAGGGTGCGCGTGGCAGGTTTTATAGTATCGAGCGGTAGGCGCGGAGACTATTCGCTGGGACGGAACTGGTAGTGGTTGCGCGTTTGACATGTTCCTCGTGCGGGAGCCTGTCGATTTGGAGTTAGTTTCCGTACAGGGGAGCAGGCCGGGAGGGGACAAGTGGACGACGGCTGCCGCACCTTCTTCGTCTTCGCACACGGTTGCTGCGGATACACTCTTCGCTAGCTGGAGCCTGGAGACTGGAGACTGGAGAGCGGCGGTGGACGATGGCAGCACGAGGAGGAGACGAGGTCGCGGCGAGGTGATTGCTCTGGGATGGGAGCGTGTTCGTTGCGCCAGCGCGCGGTGGGAAAGCAAGAGGTGCTCGATTAGCGTCACGTTCGTTTGAGCTGGTTTGGCTTATAAGCTATGGCTGAAAGTACTACTGACTAATTTGGTGTGAGAGAAAAATACTGTTCGTTGACCGATAAGTCATGCCTTATAAGCCAAATACGACTAACGAAGACGCCGTAGATCCTTCTCCTTTTCTCCTGAAAAGCAATCGAATTGAAAGAAACAGCAGCGTATGGGGGCAGTGCGGTGGGGTGGGGTGTCCTGTCCTGCCATCGCACACCGGCGACCAACCATGCATGCCTGCAGCTGAGAGGAAACGGCAATGGAGTAGCCGGGTCAGCGAGAGAAAGGCTCCGAGCTGAGGAAGCAGCAAGCCAGTCGGAGCGTATATAGTTGATGTTGCGATTTGCGAAAGGGTGCCTCTCAAACCAGCTTGGAGGACATGGTCACAATGAAAGGTCAACCTTGTCCGCTGTTCCGCAGCCAATGCCACTTGCCATGTTTGCGAAGCAGGACGTCGGCGCTTTCGCTCGCAGCGGTGATTTTTTTTAATTTTAACACTTTTTAAATTAATTTTAAATCTAAAATTGTTTTTTTTTCTTCAAAACTAACACTTTTGGCCGCGATTATTGTCATGACGTGGCGAAACGTCTGTGCCGCGTCATGCATGGTGACACGGCAGGAGGGTGACGTGGTGAAGACCGGGACCGCTGACCGGTGACGTGACAAGGTCTGTCATGTCACCGATATTGGCGTCACACTAACGCGCCACGGAGCATGGTGCGGCAGGACCTGGAAGCAGACAGAAGATCCGCTGCTGTCGGTGAGGATCGGCAGCGACGCGACCATGGACCATAGACTCCGGCTTTCTCGACCCCTCGTCGGTGGGCTCCGACCAGGTGCTCTAGTCCGACATGGGCAGTGACGGTCCTATGATTTCGAGGACCATACATAAAATATTATAATATATAGGTATTAATTTTACTTGCAAAACGAAAGCAAATTCAATAACATATTTTTAATTTAACATGTCTGATAATTATCGAGGAACAATGTAGATTAAGCAATATATTTGTAGATGTATGATAATTATCGAGGAACAATGTAGATTAAAAAACAATATATTCGTTTTCTTTTCTCACCCATGATAAATGTTTCTTACGTAACATTCTAAAATTTTAACACCTAAATTAGAAGAAAAATATAACTATACGGGTACAAAGTACTAGAAGTCTGGAATACTATACAAATAATTAATTTGGATTAAAAATAAAAAGAAAAAATACCTTGGACCTAAACAACTGATCGGTAATCGCAATTCACAAGAAGCCAAGAATCAAGATGTCGTCGTCGTGGAGCCCTGTATGGTCGTCGTCCTCGTGCACTGTGTCCGTGTCTCTGGTAGTCTAACTCTTCGCGGCAGCGCGGCTCGCCAGCTCCGCGTGTGTAAGGCGCACATCGCAAACTCATGATCAGAGTGTGTTGTGTGCAGCGTGACTCCTCGTTTTCTCTCTACCCGAAGGCCGTGGGGAAAGGAAACTAGGAAATAAATATCGATGTTGTCTTTTTGGGCCGTCTGACCAGTTCTATGTTTCTCTTCTCATTAGTTTGCTAATACCTAATGGACTATATAACCTAGGGGTTTGTATACCTAGGCTTGGGCCCCTCCTTCGCTTGGGCCCTCGGCCGTCGCACCTCGTGGCCTACCCCTAGGGCCGGCACTGGACATGGGGTCGCGCAGCACGGTCGACTACTGCACGTCTAACCAGGGTGCCTTCTTCGGTGATTTCGTGACGGCGATGACCAAGCTCGGGAGGATCGAGGTCAAGACGTCGGCCATCGGCGTCGAGATACGTCGGGACTGCCGATTCCCGAACTATTTGCTACTTAATCTCGCCGACAGTGCTGCCGCGATGCATTAAAACGAATATGAAGTAAATAAATGGAGTCCGTGCGCAAGTTGACAAGTTGCCACATAACATTTTCATTGATTTGACATAAGTTCGAAATAACATAACCAACTAAGCCTGAAAGTTTCGGACGCCAATATTCGTTCGACCTAACAAACTAAGACCCAGGAGTGTAAGGATCCCTCGGACGCCTCTGTCTCTTCGGATTTGTTGGCAACACATTGGAAGTGTAGCCAACGTCTGTGTGGTCGCGTTGCCAGTACGTACGGCTCGTACCCTGCAAGTATATGATATGCACGATTACTTATAATCTTTATGATCGTTAGTTCATGGAGTCTACGTATTTAAAGATACTACCTTTGTTAGTACCTGTGAGGCTTCTTGAGTGCTGAGACATGTCGATCTCGTCCTGCGGCCAATCGTCCCACTGGTCGTGCTGTCTGCGGAAGCCCGGGGGGTCATCGTCGTCATCATCCTTGTCGTCCTCGGTTGCTGAGTCCTTCCCAGCGCTATGATGTGGTGGTGTACGCACTGTGGAAGTGGCACCTGTCACCGGCTGAGAAGAGCCGGCTGGTGTCCTCAAAGAGGCTGAAGACGTGCCACCCGACCGCGTCGGGAGTGGTGGTTCCACCCAAATGTCCATGTAGCTCAGCTTCTGAGCTAGCTTCCTGCAGCTCTTCTTCACCTTCTACATAAATAGACGTTAAAGTTAGTGCATTTCCCAAACGCATATACACTAAAGAAACATTTTCGGAACGGACAAGTTTATGTTTACCTCCACAAAAGCCTCGAGAACGCCTGGCCCCTGCCCTCTAGACTCGTGAAGCCGGAACGCTGCTTCGTTGGACATCTTTGACAATTGTGTCATCTGGGTACAGAAACGCGGTTGGACAGTTTTAGTGCATATAATTAATACCAAATGGATAATAAATTATATCATTCAAGTATCTTACCACGTATCTTTGAAGCGGGGCTCTCTGTAGCTGTGTGTCCTCCCTAGTGGCAACGTCGTACACATCTTCGATCACATCTTTTTCCAAGTTCTCGTCAATCGCCTACTCAGTGTACATGGGCTTGATATGTGTCCTTGTAGACCTATAAAGCCACTGCAGGTACTCATCGAAGGTATGCTGATTGTGTAGGAGACCCGCATGGACCGGCTGCCGTTCCATGTTTTGCCACAAGTCGATGTGCGCGTTGTGTGTCACGCGCCAATCCTTGGTCTTGTACCTCTTTCTGCGGTCATACCTGCAACAAAACTATGTTAGTTGTACCACACACACCTCTGAATTATAACTTTATTATTAATCGATAACGCACCCGTGTAATTCTTGGTTGGTGGAGTAAAGCGGTGGTGGGCAGCCTGTCATTCTTTCAAACTGTCTGCAGACTCTGATGGGCAAGTTAATCTCGACCACGTGGAAGAAAATAAGAGGGACGTTGCAGCGATACTCGTCTGACTCATCCCTAGTGACATGGCTCAGATAGTACTCGAGCTCCGGAGCATCCCAAGGATACCAATGTACTTGAACATTTCGTAATTGAGTTAGGTTATGATATAGTGTACATCGAATAAGACACATGTATGATAGTAAAGAGAGCGTAACCTAGTGCTGTGTCAGGACATCGAGATCGTCCGTGTACTCCCTGTACTTGCGCCTCGTATTCCCTCTAACTAACTTTGCTTCTGTCCAGATATACAGAGCTATAGGGAGTGTATCATGCATGTTCCATTGCTGCATCGAACACGATAATGAAATAGCCATTAATAATTTAATCATATGTAACTGCCTCGAAGAATATAGTGAACCAAAGTACTTACCGGTAAACCAGTATTAAGGGGCCTCCCAACGGGCCATCGTTCCCAACACCAAACCTGGAGTAGGTAGAAGCAACCCCCAAGGTTCGCATACCCTGAGGTGCGACAGCAGGCAACGCACAGCTATCGATACGTCCATGCCAGGACTGCGTTGCCCCAGCTGTACGCCGCTATGTTCTCCCACGGCTGGCGTAGTATGTCAAGAAAGATCCAGCTGATGGTGTTGCCTGAGGCATCTAGGAAGATGAAAGCTCTAGTTTGGTTTTGGTAAATTGATGAAACCCTAAGTGCTAACCTAGTTCATCAAGTGATCATGAGATAGGTAGCACACTTCAAGTAGAGAAGCAAATGAAGATCATAACATGACAATGGTGATAGCATAGAGATGATCAAGGGCTTAAACTTGAAGAGAAGAAAGAGAAAAACAAAAAGCTCAAGGCAAAGGTATAACTTGTAGGAGCTATTTTATTTTGGTGATCAAGACACTTAGAGAGTGTGATCACATTTAGGTTTGATAGCCGTACTATTAAGATGGGTGAAACTCGTATCGGAATGCGGTTATCAAAGTGCCACTAGATGCTCTAACTCATTGCATATGCATTTAGGATCTAGTGGAGTGCTAACACCCTTGATAATATTCGGCGCTTTCGGGAAAATGAAATGTCTATTTTCTATTGCGCCGGATGCAAAATTCTTGGTGGTTGGCACTCTTGAGCAAGGGTGAAGAAGTAAGAGTTGAAATAGAGTTGATCGAAATGATGCTGGCGTCGGTCTACTGACCGGACGCTGGGTCACTCAGCGACCGGACGCTGAAAGGCTACGTCCGGTCGAGCTGTCAGACGGCACAGTGGCTAGGGTTGAGCACCGGACGCTGGCTGCGTCCGGTCAAGGTGGACCGGACGCGTCCGGTCGAAAAAACATGCCTCGGGGAGCTTACTGGAAACGACCGGACGCTGGGGCTTCAGCGTCCGGTCAGTTTTACCGGAGCGTCCGGTCAGCTTCGCGACCGTTGAAATCTGACGAACAGC